TGACACCTGTCCGAAAATAAAAGATGATGTATACAAGTATTAAATAACAAACTTGGGCTCGGTATCCTACCAYTATCTTCTTTAAAGGCGTGTTTTAGTCTAGTCTAAATTTCTAAAAAAACAGCAGCTGATGAATAGGAGCTCTCAAAAATTGACATATGCTAATACTCCACCCTGCTAGCAGTCTGAAACAGAAAAATAAACTATTAAACTAGAATAATGTCGTATTGACTGGAACTAGGGAAAAATTGGAAAAGTTTTTTTACGAAAAGTATTTATTTTTGAATAACTAAACTGTAAAACTATTCAATTGTAGATATTTAAAATTTCTTGACTAAAATACCCAYCCCTTAAACGGCTTATGTTAATAGAAAATACTTATATATTAAGCCGTTTTACTGGAAAATTTCTTAACACAAAATATTTTATTATTTCTATTTTTTATTTCTGACAAATAACTCGAGGTCTGATTATGAGCTGATTACCATCACAATAAAAATTTCAAAATATTGTGGAACGATAGTGCCGCTATTTTTCGTTAATSGCAGTTGTGAAATATTCTTCACTACTTAAAAATTACTAGATATAATTAAAATCCACACTTCCATAAACGGTGCACTATTTCTWGCGCACTATGCTCAGCTGTGAGAAACATGCCATTGATGATGATGGTGGTGGAAGCAAAGCAGTAAATAAAAAGAGAAATTTTAATTTTAATTAAATCAATTTAAATGTTTATTGTTTTTATTTTTATTTTCATTTAATTTTTTTTCTTTTCGTATCTTGTAATAGTACAAATCTTTGTCAATACTATCAATTAATTATATTTGCATTTACAGTTATGTATTTATGCATTTCTGTGTATGTATGTATGTTTATTCATTATCATTTAAAATTTATTATAATGATCAATTGTATTTTATTTTGCTTTTATTCGCAATATATAATTTTTCACTTGGTTGCTACTCTCCTCTCCTCAGCTATTCGCTCTCTTTGTATTTAACGTTTAATTACAATTAAATGGATTTTAATATATCTTAAAATTAGCAATAATTACATTTCAATCGAATATGATTAACGGAAAGTAGCTCATTTCATTACTAATTACAAAAAGAGTTTTTTTGTACGCAAAAAAAAAAAAATAAAAATAAAAACCAAAAATGAAAAAAAGAAACACAGAATTAACAAACCTAATTATATGTATGTAAAACTCGTACAATTAACGATATGTTAAGCAAAAAGTAGTTCACTGATATAACAGTACAGTAATCAAGTAGTTATTGACACAATATTAAACTTAATAAGTTATTTGTGGGAGCAGAACTCACATGTCGGCTTATTGCTTATAACCGAGCGGCGTTTGTTGGTTGTTGCAAAGCTTTGCCAACTCCACTCTACGCTTTTATTTTAACACATTTAATTTAATATCTGGTTCTGCGTTGACTTCACAAATGACTTTAGCGCCTTCTGCCTCGCTTTATACATAAATAAGTATGTACTCATTTATGTATGTGTGTATGTGTTAATTTGCAATTCATTAAACAGTTATCAATATGTTTTGTTTTTTGCTTTTGCGATATTCTCACACATAGCGGCAAATATTAGTATATACGTACATACGTATGTTTAATACAGTTATACAAAATATTAAGCAGTACTCTTTGCACGCAAATCCACTCAAACACAGCTGACTCGATGCAAACATATAAAGCTACATATGTAKATGTATATATGTTTGGCCTACGCCGTTGTAATTTTGTACAATAAATACGCATGTATGTACTTATGTGTGTTGATAAATTAATTTTAATAAAAGCTAACAAATATGTTCGTTAACAGAAAGAAATGTATGTATGTGTGCATGTGCGCGCGCCCGTTACAGTTGCATGGCGCGCACATTCTTAATTATGATTGTTTTTATGCCACAACCTGTCTCTTATACACATCTAATACAAAATTAGTGAGTGAAATATAATGAAAAAAAAAAAACAAAAAAAAAAAATACATAAAAAAAAATTAATTAAAAAAAATACATTAAAAAAAATTAAGTAAAAAAAATACAGAAACAAAATAAAGACTGAATCTTGAAGCAATAATTGAATTAAATTTCTAGAAATCGCCTCAGCTCGAAATATTTCCTCTGTATTATTATTTTAATATTCCTGTTGTGTCTYGTTAATGTTTTTAAAATTACTAGAAAATCCAAATTCGTCACTAAAAATACTAAAATCACGCTTCAAACGAGTATGTGAGATATTTGAATGTTTTTGTTGTTGTTACTGCCCAAATCAGTGATTTATAAAATTAAAAAAGGAAAAATTATTAATTATTAACATGACAATCTCAACGCCGCTGTGCTAAACAAACAAAAATTATTTTCCTGCAGAAAATAACGTGTTTTGCAAGCTCTGACTCCAGCAATGACAGCACATAACGGTTAAAAAATTCCAAGAAATATCGCTGATTTAGTATTTAGCAGCGAAGTAGTGAAATTTTTCCAAAAGCAGCATTTACATAACAAAGCAGCAGCTAATTTAATTTGGAACACCACCTGGAAGGCATAAATTTTGCTCTAAAAGCAAAAAAAAGCCGCCTTGAAAATATTTTTTAAAATTTAAAATTTGTTTTCTATCTCGTGAAATTGTGGTAAAGAGGCGGAAGAGTCACTTTCTTATGTGTTTTTTTTATTGTTATTTATTGCATGACTTTATATACAAATGGAATGTAACTTAAACGCTGCAAGGGCCCAATTGTCGCCAACGAAAATTCACTTTATTAAATATTATACTTATATATTAAACGTTAAAGTTTCTTATGCAACTAAATGTGTTCTACATTTCAGTGTTTTTCTTAACTTTCTACAGCAAAGTGATAGAAGAAAACACTAACAAGCCAAGTGTGTAAACCTTTCGTGACTGAGATGAAAGTAAATAAGCGCAAAAAACATAAAAAAACAAAAAAAAAAACAAACAAAAAAAAAAAAAGTAAATAAGCGCAAAAAACATAAAAAAAAAACCAAAAAAAAAAAAAACATTTCAAAAATTTACTTGCCGGTGCCAAAAACACGCTACTGATTTGGTACTGAACCGAAACTATTTCATATTATAAAATTTACTTTCCGGTGCTAAAAACAATCTACAGACCCGGTGCCGTAAGAAACTGCTAAGCTTTTAGTAAGGCTTGCCTGCACATTACAAAAATATATACAATAAAAGAGTACCCAGACAAAAAGAAACGCGCCTCACTGCAGCCACCACAACGAACTCAACCTTCTTTCCATTGCTTTAGATCGCCTACGCACACTTGCTCTGTTCCTTTCCATTGACTCGAGCCTAAATACCATATTGGCAGCACTTCAAATGTAAGTTTGCGGCTTATATTTGCCTGTCTGTCATTGCTGTGAGTACTTTTCGGTTTTATTTGCTCTTAGAGATATTAAGTTTACAAAACAGATTTATTGTACGAATTACAATTACGTTTGCTAGTTACGAATTACATTTAGAATAGAATATGTATACATAATGAAATATTCGGTGCTCGCATTTTGCGGAGCATGTAAACAAGCGCTACAAAAGACAAACAACAATGCAACTTAACATAAAGGGCAAGTGGAAAATGTTGCTGCAACAGTCGCGCAGACAAGTGCTGGTGGAAAACTGTGCGCCGTGCTTCAATGAGCCGGCAGGGGTGTGGACTGCTGCAATGTAAATAACAATAATATGCTTAAGTGTGCTTCAAATGTCCGAAAGTGCGCGCCGCCATTCAACTTCACGGCGGCATAATGGACAAATTAAAATTCTGCTGGCTACTTCCTAGTGTTATTGTAGTTGTTGTTGTTGCTGCACAGCTGCACCGGCATAACTGTCCTTAGTGGCATAACTGCTTGGCGTTGTTGTTGCTGTTGACGCGSCTGCAGTTCGAGTTTAGTAACGTCATTGTTGTTGTTGTTGTTGTGGAAAATTACTATCGTCATGGCGAATCTGTTTGCATAACGGCTTTAGTTGTTGCTAGTGTTGTTGTGGCCATATATTTTTAATGGAATGGATACTTTTTGTGGCACTGACTTGCCTGTCTAAACTCGTGCTGAGCAATTTGCTGCCCACACGCACACTTTGCTCCCGCCACAGCATGGCACTAAGCTAAGCGTCTGTCCATTCGTGAAGCACAYTTGCTGTCCTGCGCGGCTGCCGTCGTGGYGCTAAGTGGATTTGCTGCTGCTCTGCCACGGCGACGACAAATAAGCAGGCATTTAGAGCTGATATGCATTGCTCAGCGTTCCCGACAAGGCCGGACAAGTTGCCGTACAAGCGTTGCTCACTAGCACTGTTGTCCATTTTGTTTGTGTATTTTATTATTGTTTGTTGTTGGTTGTTTTTGCCTTCGTTTTCATTTCTGCTTCGGCTGCAGTTGTTGTAGTGTTGAAACCCCAAATGCTAAATCGTTAGAAACTGCTACTGCTACTGCTGTTGATGTTGCTGTTGTTGTTGCGTTTGTTACTGTCACTAATGTCGTCCACTTTATGCTATTATTTATTTACTTATTTATTGGCTTTTGGTCGCCTTACTGCCTTAGCGTTTATACTTTAAACTTCGCGCCTGCTAACGGCTTCTTCTATGCTTTAACTTACTTTTCAGTTGTTTTTTTTTTTTTTTTTTTTTTTTTTTTTTTTTTTTTTTTTTTTTTTTTTTTTTTTTTTTTTTTTGTTTTTTGTTACTTTTATCGTTTACTAACTTTTTACTGTAGAAATAGAAATTTATTTGCCATTTTTGCAATTTGTCTTTGTTTTCTCCTAACCTCCTCTACGCTCATGCTCATTTCCTTTCAACAATCTAATTCACATGTTTTGTGTGTGTTTGTTGTGTTCGTTTTGTTTTTTTCTTTTTTTGTTTTTTTGATTCAATTTTGCTTTGCCGTCTTTGAGCATTTCATTTTTCAATTTTTTTATCCATTTTTCTGTGAAGTTTTGAATTTTTTTTTGGAAWTTTTTTTTTGTTTTTATTTTCTTATATTTCATTTTCTCGTTTTTATGCCATCACGCTCGAACTTTTGCTGTTGTTGTTGTTGGCGCTTTTGCTGTTCGAGCACAAAATTGTGTTGGTTGCATTTGGAAAATGAGTTTTTCACTGATGTTGCTGCTGACGTGGCTGCTGTTGCAAGTGTCGTTTGCTGCCCTTGCATTTGTCATGGCCGATGGAACCTGCCGCAAACCGCATCGAGAAGAGAAAGAAAAKAGTTAGGTTAATATTTTATTGGTTTGAATAGCGTAAAAACTAAAAGAACTTTTAGGAATGCAAAAAAACGCGCAGAAATAGCAAAAGATCCAAAATACGCTGCGACTTGCCCCCCAGTGGGACTGTGGCAAAGTCAAGTGCAAAGTTCTAGATGAGACTACCGAAAAAAWCTGTTTGGCAAATAATAATATTTAAAATTCAAGTGGAAACTTTCGAAGACGTTGCAACTTCTAGAAGTGAGATTAACTATTTATTACGTAACCTAAAATTACGCGCGGAAAATGTTTAAAATCATATTTGTCAAAAACCTGGCTTTCATTTGTGAGCGTAAATAAAATTGTATGGTAAAGATGGCTTGTTTTCAGYTTCTTTCCGTAGAAGACTAGAAGAGAAACTTTCTCCTCGCACTGTATAGCCTTTGCAAGACTGAGGCTGAARCATCTGGGTAGCCTTACCTAGGGCGAACCGGAAGCCAAAGCCGAAACTGGCATTAGCCGTCTCAAAAAATTTGTTCTAGGCTCAATAGTTGCGTTGTCGATTTGTAGGGGTCTTATGATCCAGTATTTAGGAACTTTTAAGAACCACAACGAATCGGCGTTCTCAGCTGTTCAAGTGAGATCCCGCTCAGGAYAGACCTTTCAACCTAACCGAACAAGTGACAAGTCCTGATGCTGAGTTCGAGGTCTTATACCAAAACTTTGGTAAACCTTTACGCGCGCAAACACTAGAGTCAACGACCCGTATATAGGGGTTTTCAATAGCGCACTTTAAAAAAAGACCGGTAGAGACATCAAACGACGTCATATTTTTCTCCACCCTTTTGAAGATTCTCTTCAGTAACGTTTGCCATTTCATCATGGAAAGACACAATAGTCGAATTTATCAAAATTTACTACCCAAATTCGGAGTCAGTTTCCACAACATTAAGAGCAATGTATCTTACACTTACAAGCGGAAAACACAGGTAGATWTATGGTTGTAAATGTGAGAGTGTTGGAGCGCTTCACACGAGCATAAACGGAAGCATTTTTCCAATAGAAATTGAGTGCGCTCAGCTGAGAAATTGCCTAACGTCCAGCTCAACTATCGAAGGGTGCAACGCTTCGAGTAAATTGAAAACGGGCAACAGTTTTGAGAGCTCAATTCAATAAGAACAACGAAAATAAATAAATAATCCCAGTTAAACAAAATGGTTGGCATCTCCACGAAATTGAACGGAGAGATGGCAAATGAAGCAACAAACCCCAAAGTAGGTTGATGGACGAGCTACCGCTGGATCAGGTCGTAGTTGGGTTAAAAGCAAATGCGGTTTGCCGAGTTTAAACTGTAATTTTCTTACTTCCAATACAATGTCAAAGGAAGTTAATTTAAATGGGTTTGGGCTACAAAACTGTAATCGGCTTAAATTGGCTGTCAGAGAAGTTAAAAGAAATTGTAAATTGGCAAATAACGGGCATGTGCCGCCATATGTAAGCTTGTAGGCAGATTGCAAAGCGAAAGTTAAGGCACTGAGTACCTTTTGCCATTTTCCAATTTTATATACTTAAATACTTGTAGCTATTTATACTAAATACATAAGTACTTATATACCAAACTCTACCGGGGTGGAAATGAACAGTTGGGTTCTCTGCTTCAATGGTCAYCCTCATTATAATTGCCAAACTGTTTTGGGAAACTTTGGAGAAAAATTTTAATTTATTTATAAAACTGCAAGACAGTTTCTTTCGGCACGCATTCGTATATTTGTTGGCGAACGTGCTCAAACAGTGAAACATGAATGTGTGCCTGTTCGAGTGTGTAGAGGAATGTGCATGAAGGTCGCTTGGGATGCACTGCAGCCGCTAGCTTTATTTGAACAATGCATTTAACGACATTGCCGTGCGATGGAAGTTGATGTGTCTCCTTGCCGCTTTGAGTGTCCTTGCTGCAAAAGCACAACGCCACTAGCTACAAAGTCTCGAATATGCACATATGGTATATAGAGGGTGATGCATTTCGAGGTTCTCTACTTTTTTAAAGAAAAAAAAAAACAGAAATTTAATGGGCAATGTTTATTATCATTCAATAGAACRTTCTTTGGTATTTATTTTTTGAAGATTATCTCTTTGAAATGCTGGCCGCGGCTACGTCTCAGATGGTCCATCCATTGAGTCCAATTTTCGATGACTCGTTCGCGCATTTCGACTGGTAACTGGCGAATGGCAGGCGTGATGTTTTCATCCAAGGTCTGTATCGAAGTGGCATTGTTCGCACAGACTTTGGACTTTGCATATCCCCACAGGAAACAGTCTAACGGTGTGGCTCAAAACGTGAAATTATCTGCTCATCGAAGTTTTCTCTCAACGAATCCATTGATCGAGGCGATGTGAAGGAAATGTCATCGTCTTGTTGAAACCAAATGCATCTGAGATCACCACTCTTGTTTTTTCTGGATGAAATGGCAGCTCTTGAGTCTCTTCAGCTTGCTCTTCGTCTCAAATRCGGCAATTTTGCTTGTTTACATASCCATTCTGGATCTTCATAAAATTTTCAAGTGTACAAAGAGCGAAGCGATGTCGGTTGGGGARGGCGGGCGTCTTCAGTTCCWGCACAAGCCGTATTTTGTATGTTTTCGGTTTAGGACGTAAAATGCACCAAGTCGTTCCATACATCAATCCGAGTTCTGCGCACAGTGCCGAATCGACTCTGCACGGTCTTCGTGCACACTCTCAGCTACGGCTRCTACATTTTCTTCACTGGATGKGCTCCATTCGGTCGAATATTATCCAAYAMTGAATGCAGAGTCTCAACATGGGGGTTGGTGAAGCGAGTCAAACGCTCATTAGGGGGATTATGTTGATGACAAGTTGAGCGAAGTCATTCCATGAAAAATGCCAAACCAAAATAACAGCAAAATTTTGACAGCTTGCCACGACTCACGTGTATCTGTCAAAAACAGGGTTTTAAAAAACTACCTTTACTTGGATCGCCCGTTATATGATATATTCTACGCTTGCTTCGTTTTGCAGAAACGGTCGCTGTTGCCTGAAGATAGCAGAACYAGTCTTATCTATATCGGAAGCATATTTGCGGCTTAACTTCGAGATCAAAGCATTAAATTTTTTATTGTGACATTAAAAGCTTTTATGACTTTCCCCTTGGATGTTTTTGGAAATTCCTCACGTGTTTGTTATTTTAGCCTCAATTCTTAAATCTTCTTTGATTGYGATTGGTTAAAATTTATGCGGCGGCCAATTTGCACCATTGGCTTCATACTGCTTCACATTATTTGTGCCATTAGTTTGAGCAACGCTACGAGAAGATTTAAGTACCGTTATTCGGGCTAAATGCATAAATATCACAAACGAATTTATCTTCTAGRATTTTTTGTTGTACACACTGTGATCACTCACATCTGCGATAATAGGACTTTCCATCCACCATTTTGCCATTCATTTCAGAAGCCCTATTCCAGTCACATCCGTATACAATGAATGTTTACTTCGAATTTCTTCGCATTCTGTTTCTGTCGCCTTGCATTTTATTGCATTAGTTGCAATTGTGGCAAAATATCTCGCCCATGAATATGTATCTGCGGCGGTGCAATACACACGTGGCACACACCACATTGTGGCATATAGGGCAACACATCTTTTATGYGCATTTAAGTGAACTTGAATGGATTTGCTAGTGAGCGCTCGAAATGAATGTGCCCCTCGACGTGGCATTGTGTGACAGGAAGTGACATTGAAATTAAACTTTTTCGTGCTCTCCACATTTTTACAAATCCCCTACCATTCTGCGCTCGTCTCTTTTTGTCCTTGTCTCTCTACTTACATTCTAAAGTCGTGTCTTAGTTGAGCGTACGTGCGTCGCTCCTCTGCTACAACACTAAACTGTGTCGTTACAACAATTGTGGTATTTATACACATTGTCCATTTCACACTTTAACTGCCGCACATACACATATACACATATATATGTATATACACAACCACATATGGGATACGCTTTGACTTGACTTCGTCGATGTGTGTGTGTGTGTGTTGCGCGCGTGCGATTGCTTTTGGCACAACACTCGGCCGGCTCTTGGGTCCTTAATAGTTGGCAATTTAAGCTGAACCAACGGCAATGGTTTTAGTGGTCTTTTGTCCTCAAAAGTAATGCCCAAATGACTTTTTAATTAAGCCAATTGACAGGCGAAAGCCACCGACAGAGCGAATTACATAAACGGAAACGATGCACTGCGGTTGCGGCTCTTCAGAGCGGAGCGGAGGAGAGCATGTAAAATGCGAAAATCTTTAAAATGAAACAAAATGATTTTTTGAAGTCAAAATGTTTGGCTTTCGGCTTTACGAAAACTGAAGAAAATTTAAAACAGTTCCCTTGTAATTTAGACCATATTAATCTTCTGAATTAMAGAGACTTTCGTATGTTTCGGTTACGAAGACACGACTGTTACGGGTTGAATTGATTTGTAGTTCCAAGGGAAGGGTAGCTATATATGAGACAACAAAAACAACACTAACTTCGGCGCGAAGTTTTTTATATAACATAAATAGTATAAAAAGACCTTCTTCTTGACTTTGATTGGAACGAGTCGGCGCATTTATCGTTGAGATCTTAAATTGGAAGCGTACGAAATACAGCTTGTGCAGGAAATGAAGCCGCTCGACCTTCCCTAACGACAGCGCTTCGCTCTATGGGATCCTGAAAAGTTCCACGAAGTTCCGACGTTTTCGAGCCAACTTTTGTTCAGCGATGTGGCTAACAGTATGGAAACAAGCAAAATTGGGACAAAGAGCAATCAGATGAGATTTAAGAGTTGTCTTTTCATCTTGAAAAAAAAAAAAAAAACTTGGTATGATTTGTGGGTCGGTGGAATCATTTGTCCATATTTGTTCAAAAATAATGTCGGTGAGATCGTAACAGTCAATGACGACCGTTATCGCGCCATGAGAACCGATTATTTCATGCCTGAAATTGAAGCTCATGACCCCGGCGACATTTGGTTTCAACAAGACGGCGCCACTTCCCACACATCACACCTATCAATTGACAGAACGCTTCGATGAACAGATAATTTCACGTTTTGCGCCGGTCGATTGGCCGCCAAGAACGTTCGATATGATATGACACACCGTTAGATTTTTTTCTGTAAGGATAAGTTTAGTCTAAAGTTGTTAGAGCCAAATACCACGAGTGTCATTCGCCAGTTATCAGTCGAAATACTCGAATGAGTCATCGAAAATTGAACTGAACGGATGGACCATCTGTGRCCAAAGTAAGTAGGTAACCTCGAAATGGAACACYCTTTRTACATATACATTTTACTCTAAAAGTTCCTGTTATTAAAAACTTCGAGGCAAACTTAAAATACCCAGTTCAGGGATTAAAAAATAAACTTACCTCGTCAAGTGCCGACTACCCTCGTGCACCGCCATCTCCGACGATTTGAACTCATTCAATTCCTTGCGTATGGCAGCCTTATCCTTCGGCGTCAGTCTTGTCCATGGCTTGTCCGCACGCCGATCGTAGTCGTGCGCCTGTGTCACCTCAATATAATCGTTGAAACGGATGATTTTCTTCTCCTTCAGCTCCTCGACGGTGGGTCGGAAACTCAATTTTCGCAGCAAATACGATTTCTTCTCCTCCTTTTGCTTCTTCTCTTCGGCGGGTGATTGTGCTGAACCAATAAGAAATAATGTGCCACAATAATTATATAAATTCACACAATTAACAAACAACGCAAACAACAACACAAATACAACGGCATTCAACGGTGGTAGTATTGTGTGAGCAAGTTTGCTTGCCATTGAAATACTCACTCTTTAAGATATTGCGCTCCACCAACTCCTCGGCTGTGGGACGCATCGACAGTCGGCGTATGAGACGTGCGCCAATGGCCTCCTTCGACTCCTTGATCTCATTGTCGGTCACCTGGTGCAGAATGTTGCGGTTGATCAGATCCTGCTTGTCGGGCCGCAGCTGCAGCTTCAGCGACAGCGACTCCTTGCGCGCAATCTTCGCCTGCCGGTCATTGTCGTCGTCGCGATAGAGTATGCGACCGTCGCCCTCGTCGCTGTCGCTGCTGCTCTCGCGTATCACAAACGGCCGAGTGTTCTCCTTGTTCTCGACGGTGCACGGCAGATTGATGTTGAACACCTGCTGCCTGCTGGTTAAGCGAAAGCCGCAACATTAAGCGCGAGACAGYGARAAATGTYGTTGTTGTTTTGGTTTGAAATAAAGAGCAAACAAAAGTGTGTAAAAGATAAGTAAACAACGTTTTGCATGATTTATTTGATTAAAATTTAATGCTCGTTTGTTTTATACTTTATTAAGTGTGTTTGTGTGTGGGTGTGTGTTATCTTTCTTTCTAGCAAGTGTTGTTGTCGTGCGTGTTACAAGTGTACACACTAATACATGAATAAAACACAAATATACAAAATTATTTATGTGGTACCGTTAAGCATGCAGCTGTGCGCTTGGCAGTGATTTTAAAGGGTTGCCACACATACATACACACATGCAGAACTAACTAAGGTAAACTTAAAATTTGCTAGAAATACACACGAAGTCACAGATAAATGAAATTTTAACATTTTTTGAAATAAAAGTTTGAACAATTAAAAATTATAATTTTTGTTAAAAAATTAATTTTTATTGCTAAAACGCATATATGAGGCATCTCTACTCTTCCAGCAATTTGAAAAATGTAAAAGCTTTAATACTTTCATCATTTATTTTTTGCCTTACAAAGCCACCCACAAGCCTTTTGGCAGCGAGTTCTTCCGCGTCGACGAAGTTAAATAAAATATGAAGCAGAAACAAAAAGAAATTAAAACTGAGTCAGCAGTGCGGAAATGAATGTGTCAGCCACCCGGCTCTGAATCTTCTTCCACCTGTACCACCGGTCTGAGCACAGGATGCGTGAGATATGAGTGTGTGTGTGTCGACATGCAAATATACTGAGCATAAAATTATTTGCGCTTTGATGACATTTAAAGTGAAATGCGGTGAAACATGCAGATAAAATGAGTTGAGTGTATGTGTGTGTGTAGTGCAGACACCATAAAAGTCAGTGCGCCTGCTGTTGCCATTCGTGAGCACACTAATATCCTTTCAGCAATGCACATCTTCCTAATGTGCGCATGTGTATGCCGTACTCTCACATCCGAGCGCAAAGATATGACGTCAACAGGCCCAACTCACAGTGCGTGCGACAAGTTCTCTGACTTATTGATTTTTTTGGGGTGTTTAACTTGTGAGGAGCTCTCTATCAACTCCAGCTTCAGACTGCCTGACTATCACAGCAAGTCGAGGTTGCCAAGCTTTTTTAGTACCAATTGGCAGTGTGGGCTGGACACACTAACCACCTTGGTAGGGTTCAAARCYTATCTAAAACCTCTGCCGTACTTTGGGTCCGGCACCCAGCTGCAATGCAACTCCACATGCAAGTAACAAAGTGTCAGTTCTTCCCGCATCAGGATTTTGATCAGAACCACCACGATTTTCCCCGAGAGGCCAGTCCGCATGAGCAGAATTAAGCGAACTCCAAGGGCTCTTGCTTCCCGACCACCAGACCAGACCAGAATTAAGTYTCCGGTCAGACMTCGTAGTCGAAAYTACTACTATTTGAGCTTCCATACTGTTCTGGACTTGTGATCAAGAGTTGGACCCCTTTCGCACATTACACGTACACACCATTCAAGCAAGAAGCTAACCATAATTCTCAGTCATTACTCTCTAAACAATTTACTTGCAAACGACCCTTACTGTTCGGCATWCCGTGGACTCATTGACAGTGTGTTCAGGGCTAGTGATGGTGTGCCTAACCTCGCTATCAATAGCGTCGATGGTGCACTCAGCAATTTCAGCCTCTTACAAGTTTTGGAGCTTTTAACAGGCCATTGCCTTCTAAGTGTCCACGCAATGAGGCTCGAAATCCTACCAGACCCATCTGCAGAATCTCTACGGAAGAAGATGAGGTAGAAAGAAGTCAACACTTCCTACTTGGACTGCCCCGCATTWGGGAGGTCAAGATACTTTGGAGCGCATAACYTCGGACGGCTTCACAAAGGACTACATATAGCACCACTATCCAATATCCCGATCTGAGGTATTCACGATCGTTTTCTGCAGGCAGTGTACTCATATAAGCAATAGACGCGCCGCAGCCGCCTGTGTGTGTCGCCGCCGCGATATCAGAGTTATCTACTCCACACTCACGGCAAGTACTTGTGTGTGTGTGCGTTTTCAGTAATATGTACACATATTTCAGGGGGGGAGAAGGGCATTAAGTTTGGTGTACTTAATGATCATTGCGCGGCGAGGATAAAACGAAGTGAGCTCACGTGTGCGCCAGGCAAGCAGCGAGGCTGCTTCCTGCCGCAGCAGGGCCCCGACGCCTGCACTAACATCATTTACAATATTTCGCACACAGACACAAACATGATGCACCGTTACATATACGAKGCGCTATAAATTTAACCTTAAAATTGCATATTTAATTGCTTTCGCGATTGAAAATTGTCGTCAACAAAAAACTGTTTGCGATTCGCAATTTAATAAAGTGTTGCCAACAACAAAAATAGTTGAAATTCAAATAAATTGAGTATATTTTAACTGAAAATTCATATTTTTTTCAATGAACGATTTTCCTATGAACTGGAACGAAGTATTATAAGTGAGTTATTTGAAGTACTAGTAACGGGTTTTTCAATAAGAACGCTACAAAAAGATTCTGTATTCCTGTGAAAGTATATTCGATGCGATTAAGCAGGGAAAGCGATTTCTTTTGCATTGCCACCACGGGCGCGCTTGCAGAAGCCTAGACGCTGAACCCAATTTTCGACGGTTTTCACGCATAAATATACCGACACTGCTGCAATTTCTCGTTCTATATTGGTACGAAGTTCATCAATCGTCGCTGGCTTGTTGGCACAGACCATAAACTGGACGTAACTCCACTGGAAATAGTCTAACGGCGTTAAATCGCACGACCAAGGCGGCCAATTGACTGGGCATCCGAATCCGGATTTTCAAGTTGTTGCGCAGCCCAATTCACGAACATACGAAGATTCTGGTGGTCAAGCGGCTTCAGTTCTAACGTCAGTTTGATCTTGTATGGATGTAGGCCAAGATCTGTATGCAAAATTCGCCACAACGACGTCACAGAGATGCCCAATGCTTCAGAACAACTTGTGAGAGACTGATTTGTATCTTCCTCAATTGATGCGCTAGCGGCAGGCAGCAATATTCTCGACACTGCGGGCATTCCTTTGTCTCCCACGGCACGGCACGGGAACATTTTGTGCTGTGTCTATGGATTCAAATTTGTCCACTAGACGCTCAAACTTTGATTTGACGACAGTGCGGACGTAGCGCTCTTGAATCCGAGTTTCGCCAGTAAATTTTAATAATTTCGACTCGTTGTTGGACCATATATATTTCCATAATGTAATGGCTAACCTTACTGAAGAGAAATGTTGAAAGAGTGGAAAACATATGCCGTCGTTTGCTGTCCCCATCGGTCTACTTTTATAGCGTCGTTTTGAAAGCACCTTCTGTAAGCGAATTCTTGCTCATCGCCACATATGGATGGAAATTTAGTCATTCCAATACATAATTGATACAATGGCTTCAGTAGACAATAAAGAAAACCAACAACAATATTTGTGTTGCTTATTTTAATATATATTTAGGCGCTCAGCGCGCTAAATGCTTGAAACAAAAAGCGGAAATAAATCTAAAGCAAATGCCGAAAAGTTTATCTACAAAGTAAATGAGCTGCCAGCATCCAGATTAATAATACACGCGTAGCAAAGTGTGGAGCGTTCAAAGCTCYGGATGCGTACAACTTTTCCATTAAAAATTGAATGATCTGCAGTAAATCACAGGGCGCCCCCACCACACCCGAAGCCCGTATCACACACGAGCACGTCAAAGCAGCCACAACACCAACAATGGGTTTCGAAATTTATGGATGCTTCAATTCAATTCCGCACAACTTTTATGATTTGCGATTTATTTATTTATACGTGTGTGTGTGTGTGTGTGAGCATATGCCGACAGCAACACATACGCAGACACCTGCGACGGCTAAATAAAAAATAAAATTTGCAGCAGTCATAAAAGGAATATTTTGAGAAAGCATTCCGAATGCGCGAAACTTGGAATGCGCCAAGCGGAACCAAAGTTATGCCGCGCACAAAGGCACACGAGCGTTTCCACGCTTTTCTAACTTTATTTTATTTGATTTCTTTGGAAAATGCTTGGAAAAAGGTTGGAAAAATGAGTGCTTTGGCCATTTCCAGCGCGTGGCAYATATACGAAGCCTCCGAAAAGGCCGCGCAACAGGATATTTATTAACGTGACGTACGGTGCGGCCGTACGGAACATATGCACGCATAAGAGCGGATGTGTGTGTGTGTAAATGCGCGGCATAAGTCAGTATTGCATTCTCGGTGAATTTGAATGGCTACCGTAACGCTCCCCACCGGCGTGGGTTGGCTTATATGCGTGGCTGTGTGTGTGAGTGCGGGTGTCGTGCAAACTTCTTTACCGAATTTATAACACAGCAACACACTTTGGGGCGCGGTGGTTATGCAACATAAACAATTTAAGCGCACTTAACACGCCGAATGGCGTCGACGACGGAAGCGAGTGAGTAAAAGACGCGCGTCGTATTTTCACACGAACACAAGGACGTGTGTTGAAGTGTATAACCATATAGCAGTATACATACATATGTACATACATACATAGATATGTATATGCACATCGGCAAACTTGTAAATGCAGGCTTACTTAAGTTCTGGATGAGTGCCGGCAAGCGAACTTTTGCTGAGTATTTATGGTTGTACTCTATATGTGTGAATGTGTGAATGTGGTTTCAAGGTTTGACACGAGAAATAATTACTGCTTGTAGGAGTATAATAACTTAAAAATTACGAAGCTAAAAGCACGTCAAACTTATTATAATCTAATGCATTGCACTCGCACATACACATTTATTACTGTATATGGTCTTACATAAATAAAATCCGTTAAATTAATCAAACAAAGCAAAAGCATTAATCATTACACTGAAGCTGTAATATCCTTCACAAATAAAAGAATTTTATACCAGAACTTCACTCCAATT